GCACCTGTTACTAGTAGTAAGGCACTTGTTCCTAGTAGCTTCTTGTTGCTACTAGTAAGGCACCTGTTACTACTAGCGTAGCACTTGTTACTAGTAGCGATTTTGTCATCTTTTGTCGCTATAGCCTTTAGATTTCTGTAGCATTCTGCCCATAGATGTCTCTAGATGTAGGACATCGGAGGGGCCGGAGCCGGGAGCCACATCAGAAAGAGCAAAGGCACGGAGAAATGTTGGCAAGCGACACTGTGGAGAAGGTGAAGAAAAAGAATAACAATGAAAGCATGCTTCGAAATGCCAAATGACAAAATTCCCCAGACCGCCAGGATGCAGTCGAACCCGCTGCCAGGGAAGGAGAGATTGATTTAAATTAATCTTTCGAACAGTTCAATTTTCGTGCTAGAGCCACAGGAACTGATCTAGCTAGCGCTAGCTTTCATGAAATCCGTTTTCCATTGTCCACTTCCATTTTTTGTGGAGGGTAGCCGCTCCGGGCATCAGGCTGAGCATCTGATCCACCGGAAGCAGTCCGTGCCAGCCTGGGCGAGTCTGGCAGTGCTTCAACCAATGATGGTCAATCATTCTGTGTGACATTAGGGAACAAAAGAAAAATCGGTGACTCAGTCTAAATTGTACACGTTCAGAACTCGGGAATGTTCAGGATCACTGGCGTTCTCCAAATCACTCTTAACTCCGAGGTCCGGGCCTGAAATCTCAGGCTCCACATCCCACTGTGGGTGGTGCCACGACTCAATTGTGGAGATTCGCATACGCACGACTGGCTGGGTCATTCGCTTCTCTCGTGCACACGTTCAACGGACGCATGATGTGCAGCAGTCTCTGTGCAGCCCGAGCTACCAGGATGGGTACGATGAGGACACACCGGTCACCCACTGAGACCTGCATGAACTGTGAGAGATACTATGGATAGGCTGGACAGGTGTGGTTATAGTATCAAATAATCAAATAGCATCAAATAGCTATTGCGTCACTTGCTGCGATTCATGGTAGGCAACGGTCAAGCGACTGTGTCTTGGTTTCATGATGTGGTGCTTCAGGACCTAGGACGGAAACGCCCCAACCCTGGTGAGACGATGAAGTAATGTGACGTGACTGATAACTTGAACATCTGCCACAACGCCTCAGTAGGAGCAGTCTCCACCCCCAGCTTGTTGCACAGCTGGAGCAACTGATGCAAGCGATGCATCGAGTCCTGGCAAGTCCTTCTTAGAACTTCAGGTAATTTGTCTCTGCGCGTCGCGTGAGCATGCCCATCCCGACAGTCCTCTTGTGCGTTGCCCCAAAGCCTCAGTGAAAGTTTCGCACATGAAGCTCTCTGGCCAATTTTTTGGGGGGGGTGTGGCGAGACCAAGACATTTTCGCCCAACGTGATCTCTTGCCACTTTGATTCATCGGCTCGTCACGGCTCGTCTTTACCTTCCTAGGCTTCTTTCAGGAGTGCTTGCCCGACGATGTTCAAGCTGCAAGGCTCCCAGAGGGAAGGAGACGCACCTCTGCCCCCCAGCCACTCCGTCTGTCGAATCCGTCTTCTGCATTATACAGAGTAGGTTTGTGAAGGTGTCCAACTATCGCTGACGATGCGTGACGCTGCGTGGCGCTGCACGCCGACGCGTGAGAGTGAGTTTTAGTGTGGGTGAGAGTGAGTGTGAGTGAGAGTGAGAGTGGGTGAGTGCGGGCGGGGGTGGGAGTGAGTGAGAGTGGGAGTGAGAGTGGGAGAGTGAGAGTGAGAGTTAGAGTGGGAGAGGGAGTGAGAGTGGGAGCGTGTGTGAGTGAGTGAGAGTTGTTCTTTCTTCTCTTGCTTTGAAAGCCGTAAAGATTGATGTAATACGTTCTGCATGCGTCTTCATGCGTCTTCGTCGATAATTAGGACCCCTCTATCGCCAACAATGTCATTTTCAGTCGACGTAATGCCCTTTGCTACTACTAGCTTCTTGTTCCTGGTAGTAATGCCCTTCTTACTAATGGGCGATGCCCTTGTTACTAGTAGCTTCTTGCTTCTGCATCATGTTCAGGATATCCGGCCCTTGCTCTCCGCCCTGCCCACACTGTGGCCTTGGCTCAACCAGCATTGAAAGCCAACAAATGTCTGCTGCATGTCTTGAATGCTGAACGGCTTGTTGAGGATTCATTCGCCGCAAAAGCCGTGTGTCGTCCACCCTCTCTGTTTGCAGCACGCCTGCGTGCGCACATGTGTGTCCTGCATTTGTTAAGCTATATCCTTCGCATCGTGCGTGCATCATAAGCCAGCTTTCAAAATATATATATATATTTAATCTACGTGTATCTACAATCCTCTGATCAGGTTGGAGCTGAAGCAACCTTGTTTTGAGTTGAACTCTGACGCAGGTACAGGTTGATCTCTAGACTTCAGGCTGCACGGGATTGTTTGCAGCCCTCAAAGCACGCTCTCCCTCTCTTTTCTGTCTCTCTCTCTCTATCTCTATCTCTGTCGTTTCTTTCTTTTCTTTCGTTCTTTCTTTCTTTCTTTCTTTCTCTCTCTCTCTCTCTCTGATGTTGGTGGAGTGAATCGCAAAGGGCCAAGGAAGGCCAGCCTAGTGGACTAATTATACAGTACATCAATGATCGAAGCAGCAGCGGTTGAACACCCGAATCAAAGGAACGGAATGGGCTACCTAAAAGTTTGCATGAAAGCCATGCCAATGCCATATCATATCATCATATCACTGCCATATCTCCAACAATGAGCTGCGTGCTGAAGGCCTGGAGGAGTGTGGGTAGCTCAGTGTAGCCACCTTACCTTTCGTCAGCACCAATGTCTTCAATCTCGCTCCACGCTTCTTGCCGCAGCTCAAGATCTTCATGTGTTGGGCCGGGTGAGGCCCTCATCCGGCATGTTGTCTTCCAAGTTCTCGCACGATCGCTCAGCCCCGAGAACAGTGTGGGTGGGCATTATATAGCCGCATCAGCCATTAGCAGCTGCAATTCGAGCCGCCCGAGCTGCCGGGAGACTGCAATTCCTCGTCTCCACATCGCGCTCTTGGGGCCCGGACTCGTGATTTCCAGGACAGTAAAACACCCGTGCATAGCGTTCCTGGCCGACATGAGCAAAAACAAGGCCTGCGCACGTTCCTACCCTGAGTTCATAAGTGCCCTTTGGTGACTTCTGTGCGCATGTCGATTGCGAAAGTTGCCTTGAAAAAGGTCAAAGTCTCGGTGATGATCTCCCACTTGTGAGAGATGTCCCCCGCCACCTAGAAAGGGATCACACTGCCGCACCTTCCCCAAACTCAAATCACAACAAGTCTCATTCAGCTGAGCTCAGTTTGTGCCAACTAGAGAGCTCAGCAAGCGTCGCAAAATGGGATGTGCCACCCTGGGTCACCAATCAGCACTGAGCGGCAATGATCACATCATCAGCTGTGCTCTCGGTGTTCATCTCTTCAATCCATTCCTGGCGGGTCGGTCGCTTGCAGTCCCTTCCAGTCCCTTTCCCCTTCCGCGATCCAAAGACCTTGTTGTGATGATCATCCGTGTGAAGATCTGAGATGGCCCAAATGCGAACCTCAGCGCCGGACCGCCCTTGGACTGCCCAAGCAGGAGCCAAGTCTGAAACGAATTGATCTAAGGTGTCCACTACTTTGGTATGGTCCACGTGCTTGGCACGTGCCTTCAACTGACTGATGCCTTGACTGCCATGCTGCAGAAATCGGCGGCCTTTTCTGTCTTCCCACGCGAGGAGCAATCATCCTGTGCATAGCCGGCAGCCGGAACCTTTCAGCTTCACGGTTTCACAGATCAGATCCTTTGGAATTCTCTATATTATGTATGTATTTCGAGAATGTTCAGCCTTCGCTTCCAGGGCTCTCTCCAAGTCATCGAAGTCAAACATCAAAACATGTGGAGCAAACCAGCAATTGTCGCTCCTGAGTCTTATGTGTGGTCAGCCTGCCCTTGTCTCTCTCTTGTTCCTACCATCTGTATCGAGCGGAGCAAGTAATCGTGCATTTCTGCTGCAAATTCATCTGCTCCGCAAGGTGTTTGTCAAAAAAACAGTGGTTCTTTGGCCGTCAAGTCGTCAAAAGTGTTCATAAGACTTGATGTTGCAGGGAGTGTTGCAGGGCGCAGTTGTGGAAGCATGTGGAAACCCATGACTCAAGCTTGGGTAGCTTTGGCGCGGTCAAATATCGTAGCTTCTTGCAGGCACACAAAATCCTAAAATACACCCCTCTGCCTCTGCTGTTTCAAGGCAAGCAGTCATGCTATGCGCACATGAAATACAAATAGGGCGTTCGGAAGTCTACTTTACACTTCGCTGGGCTTTGCACGAAGTTTGCACCCTTGAGGCCCATTTTGGGCCTGGAAAGTGCAACATTAGCTTGCAAACTGTGGGCTGGGAGGACCACAGTCTCATCAAAGGTCATCAGGTCAAGTCGCTCAATCAAATGCATCAAAGGCAAAGCCGGGCAAGCCGGCAAGTTGGTTTAAAATGTGTGCCTCCCTCACAGTTCCCTCCTCAGCTGAGGCAGTGCTGAGATCGAATTGCCTAACGGCCGCCACCGCAATCCTCAACCACAGAGGTAGGTGCTCAGTCAAAGTTCATCCGTCACTTCCTCGCAGCACAACAGAACAAACCACACAGCCACGAGTACAAGTATCACGGGGGCCATATGAGCAGGGACTGGGCAACATGTGCAAAAGTGTTTGCACCATCCTTGTTTGTAGCCCAAGGATCTTGAAGCCAGGGCAGATTTGGCACGTGCAGCCCTCTGAGCCAGGACAAAGAGGTTCGACCCAACTTTTGTTCCACGGCCACACGCACCTGCAGGTTGCTTAACTCTTCTGATCTACTCGAACATCAAAAGCTCTGAAATGGTTCCTCAGGGCATATACACACAAGCACCCAGACCTTCCCTCTCCCACTCCCCAATCTAATCTAATCTCTTGACCCCTCTGTCTCTCTCGGTGTTGTAGTTACAGGTGAACGGCCGACTCCTACCGACTATCGCACCTGTTTTCCTTGAGCCAGAGTAGTAGCGAGTGAGACGTAGTCTATGGTACACTAGCAAGCAACAACACCCCCCGCTGAACGAAAATGGGAGGAGTGAAGACTATGTACAGTGAATTAGGGACCTACAACGGCAACCGGTCCCCCGGCACGTGCGATTCGAACGAAGCCGGTTCCAGCCTTTGAGATGGAGAGGATACTTGACCTCAATGGCACAAGGAATCACTGACATGTTGATACTAGTGTTCACTCGCAATCTATGTCCGTACACTTGATGAGTCAGCTCAAGAAGAAACGGCACAATTCTTTTGACGCACCGGCGGTAAGTGCATGATTGACCTCTTAGAAAGCAGGAGCAACACCGGTCGGCGCACGCTCCAGCGTGGCGAATCAGCACTACAAAAGTATGTGCGTCTCATGCCTTGCAATGTGATCGGTACTTCGACCATCAACATCTGAATTAAAGATTTGCTGGAGCAAAAGGAGAGTTCGGCATCCGGTCCCCTGGTGCAGCACAGAAGCGATCATCAGGGCAACCGCTCCCGCGGTGCGATGGAGGAAGAACAGTCTCACAGTTGAGAGCCATGCTGCCTATTGGATGTTTTCTTTTTGTTTGGGTTTTGGCTTTGAATCCACAGGCAACGACTCCCGTCGTGCGAATGTTCCTACCAGTTGCGTGAGCTCCACCAGTCACGGTTCCAGCGATCGTCACGCTGCCATTGGCTTGAGCGGCTCTGCCACCATCCTTGATTCCAGTCCCCATCGCGATGCCAAGATGAGGAAGATGATGGCCATTGGGACTGGTATTGCCAATCATGGTGCGCTCGTGCCTGATCCTGGGTGGCCCTCGCGAGGGCTTTTGCTGATGCGGAGTCTGCTTTCGCTCGAGGCACAACCATAGTCCTAGTCTCTTTGCCAAGCTGCAAGTCGACGTTCGGAATGAAGGCGATGTCCTCTGCGATGAAGTCGAGCAGAAGCTGGAGAAGCTCATCAGGATCCTTTTCATCAGTCTTCCACTCAGCGTGGAATCCCAATATTGGTGGGCGCTTTGCATTCTGAGCGTAACTTGCCGCAAAGACCTCAGGGCGATAGAGCCTATTCTTCCAGTAAACCAGGAAGTCCTCGCTCATGTCTGCCTCTCCCACCTTCTCAGGATCGTTGATGTAAATCAACTTCCCAGCATAGCGATGGCCGACACCCTGCATGATGATGTGGTGCGTTCTTGGTGGGTTCGGGATGACCGCGTTCGCCAATTTCTCCAAGAAGCTAATGCAAAGGGGAGACAGATCTTGCGCCGCACAGTTGACGGCATACAGAGGATCTGTCAGTTGTCTTTGCGAGATGCTCATGCCCATCTTGTCTGCTTTGTTCACATGGCTGCGAGCGTTAGACTTCAGGATGTTGATACCTGATCGCGCAGCTCGTGGATCATGGCCATGCGTCCCCGCAGGCGTGTTGCGAATGCCGGTTCCCTGCAGCCGGTCTTCTTGGACCATGTCAAGCGAGAGTTCAACGCCCATCTCAGCGGCGATTTCCTCCATTCGAATGACCTGGGCTGCTTTGCATAGGTCCGACGCGGTATTCAGAAAGGTACCGCACTTGCCACAACACATCGAGCCAAAGGTGAAGTGGAGTTCACAAGTATAGGGCAGTGCCCTTCAGGCATTTGAATCCCCTCCACCACAAGCCACTGTGTCTTGCCATAGCCCTCTTTCGCTGGATCGCAGGCTCGAAAGTCGAATCTTGGCCGGTTGTAGTTCGGCAGCATGTCCGTGGGGCTGATGCTATTGCGATTCGCCCGGAAATTTGGCCGCCGAGTCACAAACATAGTCTCCATCACCTTGAGATCCGGCAGATTCTTTCCAGCCTTCATCTGATCCTTGACACCCTCAACCAGGTACTGACCGCCGAAGACAAAAGGATGGAATGTGGTCACTTTGCCACACCACCGATCGTAGTCGTCGAGAACGTCTTTGGTGGAAGATTCCAATCTCGATGCGATCAACTCTTCATCGTCTCCGGCAAGCGGTCCCCCGCTGCGTGCTTCATGGAACGCCTTCTTCTTCCCCTGGAAGATTGCACGGTAATGAGCGTACACGTGATTGGCATACAAGTAGCACGCATTGGACATGTCGTACACAAACATGACATATCGACACGAGATCCAGTCAGGGCAAAGGATAGTACGGGCCGTCGTTTCCACGAGGCGATGTCCATGGACTGCCATCATATGCAAGTCAAGCGCAACGCAGACGGGCCGAGTTGATGCCATAGCTGCATAGTCTGTCGCGCTGATGCTCCATGGATCCTCCTTGGTGAGAAACGTGTACATGTCTCCGGTCCTGTTGCCCCCAGGAATCAATCCCATGTTGATAATGTCCTGAATGGAAGCGTGATGGGTGTAGTGATAGAGGGTGGTCGGCTGGATGTCCTCAACACGTCCGTGGGCATTCACTGGCACACGAGGGAATTTGCCGCTGTTGTACTCGGCAACGCCGTACTCCGGGTCAAGCACAATGAAGCGCTCATGCTCCGGCAATGCCTCTTCCACATTCTGGTAGGACCAGTCGTTGTGGCGCTGAATGGCTTTGAGGCGAAGTGGCGTGTATTGTCTTTTTCCCCCGACCAGAGTCCCCTTTGGCGCCACCTTGATTTCCATCATGAACCTGTGGTTGCTCGTGAGGACAACCAACATGTCATCGACGGTCAATGACTGCATGTACTTTTTCTTGATGTACACGCAGACATGGTTGAACTCCATCCAAAGACCCTTCTGGAATGCCGGCGGTGGGACGCGATTCCGCTTGTTGGTGTGTTCCCATCCCCGTAGCAAGCCAGAGATACGGCGTGACAGCCACACTTGGTCGGAGTTGAGGTGGTCCAAATTGGAGGCTCCGGGCACGGACCTGGACTGGAGTGCCACCACCTGGTTCTCGGAAAGCGGTGAAGTGGCCCCCTTTGGCATGGGTGGTGCCTTCGGCGGTGCCTTAGGCATCATCTTTGGCTGGACTGCAGGTTTCTCCGTGGCAGAAGTAGTTTGATCGGCCACGGCTCCCGCCGGGCGTTCCTTCGGTTTCGGCTGAGGCTTCGGCGCAGGCTTTTCAGTAGCAACGGCCTCGGCTCCCGCCGGGCGTGTGTCCGACGATGATGCAGTCTCCTCTGAGGACTTCTTGGATGCCTTGGGCTGGGGCTCTTGCGATGGTTCTTCAACATTTCTCTTGGCTGGTGGGCCATCGGCTGAGCGAATCTTGGTCCCCTTCTTCTCCTTTGAACCTGGGTCAGCTCCTCCACGGAATTCAGTGACTTGCTTGAATTCCTGAGGGCCTCACCTTCGAGCTCTGGGATCGCATCCTCATCAGTGAAGATTCGGACGATGTCTGGCTCTTCAGGATTGAGGGAGCTGATACAGCACCCCTTGCACTTTGAAACCTTCATCTCGCATTGAATCAGGTAGGTGCGTGAGGATAGGTTCATTGAACAGGATCTGTTCATCGGGGTCCTCATCGTCATCTGGCTGGTCGACATTTTCATGTCCTTGAAGTTCCGCCGCAGCGATGTGCGGTTCAAGCAACTCCAAGATTTGCTCCTCATCATCAAGAGGATCGTTCATCACCAGAAGTTCATCTTCCTCCGTTAGCTCTGGTGGCACGGCTTCTTTGTCACCATCAGCCGGAACAGGCACATTCGCAGTGACGAATTCCATACCAGCTGCCGAGGCTGGAGCCTGGTTGTTCTGATCGCGGCCGTCCGTCCCCGGAGGCGTGGTCGTAGATGGATCAAAGGTCTCATCGATCTCGAGGACCTGAGCTTCATCCACTTCCATCTTGTCATCCTCCTTTGGCTTGAACGACGATTCAGGAATACCCAAATCTGCGTCAGTTGGAATCAACCGTTGGCCCGCGGTCCCCCGCTGCTGATACGCCCTCACGTTGAATGGCAACTTCCGGGCGGCTTCAATCTCCTCTTGAGTGGCGTCTGCCCACTCGCCCCAGGCGTCGAGGAGTGCGATTTCTTCAAACTCAGTCAGCGCGAATTTCTTGCCAGTGCCGGTGATGGCATGCTGGCGCATCTCTCCGGGGTACGGCTCGTACCAGTCACCGTTTGTTCCACACTCCACACCCGCTCCCTCATCAACGCCTTGCGCGTCTTGTTTCCTCTCTGTTTGGCAAAAAGATTTGCGTCTTTGCGGAGGATGTCTACACCGGCCAACACCCAGTAGTAGTACGCGAACAAGGCGACAGAGGCATAGTAGCGGACAAACAGATCACGGTTGGCATCTGTGTTCAGGCAATGAAAACTGTCGTACAGTACCTGGTGCACGATCGCACAAGCGTAGTGCCAGCCACGGTGACCACACCCATCTTCTTAAAAGCTTCAGAGACAAGGATCATCTGGCGAGTGAAGTCCTCCGGCAAGCCGTAGGACTGTCCGTCACAGTAGCAGATCACGATGAGAGCTGCCACGTCCTTGCGCTGCCTTAGATCGGCGAGACGCCGCATCTGTTGGGTATGGCTCTCCGCAAGCTGAGCTTGCCAAGCATAGGCGGCTTGCTGCTTTGCCCGGTTCCTATGTAGGACCGTTGACAGAAAGCTACCACGTGATCAAGTTTCCAGTACACACAGCCCTTGGGCCATTCGATAGCGATGTACGGACTTGCGGAGCGCAAAGAGTTAACGAGGTCCACTAGCGCGTTCCAGAGTTTCCTGAACTCCTTCTGGTGTTCCTCAACTTCGTTTGCTGCTGATGGTATGGTCTTGTTGACGTGAATCCATGGTGTGCCACCTGTACAAGGTAAGCTTGCCCATACAAGTAAC